AATTAAAATTTGCTGACAGCTTTAAAACTTATCAGAATTATCAGGTTTTCCTAAGTTTAATCATTAGCGAAGTTTAAAAAACAAAGTGGAATTTGCAAACAGTGAAATATAAACCATTGTGTCAATCGCTTCCTAAGTTATCATACTGAGTGAGTGTACTCTCCACTTGGCTTGGATCATTTCTTCCATGGCTACGACTTTAACTCTCTTGAGGCACATCTGTGCCACCAATTTCCTCCTCCAGTTTCCAGCTGCTAGATTTCTGTTCCACAGTGTCTTCCCATTGCTTTCCTTTCCAGCTCTCCTGACTTTCCCCAAAAACCTGTCCTCTGTCCCTTTCAGTTTCTTTTATGCTAGCACTTGCTTCACATCCCCAGTCATCTCAAACATATCTTTTATGAATGAAAAATTATTATATTCACTAACTACAGAAGATGATAAAAACATAAAAGGCTCTCCACAATCCATCTCTAGTGACCTTTTAAAAAACTTGGAAATTTTTTAAAAATAAGTTTTGCTTTCTACACAGACTTCCCTTGTAGTCCCTGTGTCTCAGCTTCCCAAACAGATGTTTGTGCCACCAGACCAAGATCCCAATTGACCTTTTTAGTTTTGTTTCTGTCAGAACTCTCCCTCATTTATCACACTGAAATTCTTTCTTTAAAAGGTTTTAATTTTTGATTTTGAAATTAAAATATAATTGCATCTCTTTTCTCCCTCCAAACCTTCCATACCCACCCTTGAGCCCTTTTCAAATCCTGCTCCCTTTTAATATTGTTTTATATATTTATATATACATATATAATATACACACATATTATATATATATATATATATTCAAATGCATACATATATTCTTAGTTTCCTTATTCAGGCCAGATTAAATGGATGACCTCTTGGAGGCTCTTCTCTGGGGAAGGCTATTTTCTCCTACTATGAGCTCCTTAGTTGCTTATAGTTTTTTTGTTTAGTGGTGGGAGCCCAGATATATCTCCCTTCCTTGTTAGCATGTCTATTGGTGTTGTGTGTACTTAGGCAGCCATATTGTTAAGGAATCATGGCTGAAGCTTCCCTGCCACTTCCAGAGGACATAACTTTACAGCAGATTACCTGGTTCTTATGCTCTTATGGTCTTTCTGCTCCTCTGAAATTCTGTTTCCTGAACATGCTACTAGGTCCTTTCATGTGTATGATTATATGCAAGTTATTCTATAGTGTAAAATGCTTCTATCATCTAACCCACTGATGTGTTCATGTTAATTCTTTAAAGCCCAGTTCACTCCTCTTGTTTGTAAAATTCTCACCATTTTTTTTTCAGATTCTGATATTTTCTACAGTCACATCCTCTAGAATTTTTTTGTGTGTGCTACCAAAGCACCTGCCAAAGGTCATTTTTATTAATTGTTCATGACTGTCTTTCATTTGTGAGAGCTCTAGGTTAAACAACCCTGGGTTCATCTTTAATTCCCTTTTGGAGAGATGGGAGTAAACATTTATTAAATGAAAGAATAGACTCCTGTTTTCACACACACACACACCAACTCCTCATGCTTGTGCTTATGTGTGTGCATGTGTGTGCGTGTATGTGTGTGGTATGTGTATATCTGTGTGTGGGTGTGCATGTATGAACATTTATATGTTTCTCTCTCCCTCTCTCCCTCTCTCCCTCTTCACCTCTCCCCCTCTTCTCCTCCGTGTGTGTGTGTGTGTGTGTGTGTGTGTGTGTGTGTGTGTGTGTGTAAGCCAGAGGTCAATGCTCAGGTGATGTTTGTGTATTTTTTAAGATAGGGTTTCTCACTGGCCTGGGCTTACAAATATGTGCCTTCATACCTACCTGTTTTGTTTAGATTTTTATATATTTCATAAGATTTATTTTACTTTATGTTCCTGGAGACCACAGAGGCCAGAATATGCTGGATTCCCTAAAACTAAATCTGCTATATAGGTACTGGAACTAGAACCTGACTTCTCTGAAAAGACTATCTCTCCAACCCCATCTACTGTTTTTTTTTAATTGATAAATTTTGACAGCTTCATATACAAATTTCTGACCATTCTCTCACTGCCATCATCTCTGATCTCCTTCTTATCCCTATCAATCTCCACCTCATTGATTCATTGAAAACAGTCCCTTTCATGACTTTAGTTTTATTTTGTAATCTGGCCCATACATTTGATCCGTAGATTTGAACTACCTATTGGGGCCTGATGGTGTCATCAGCGAGCACTTACCTCTCCCTGAATCTGTCAATAGCAAATAGTCCAGCAGTAGGTGGTAGAGACCTATGAACCTCTCCTCCATCCATACCTGACACTGATGGGCCCATTCTTTTGCACATTCATAGATAACATTCCACAGACCTGCTGCCTGTCTTCAAGCTCTCACATTCTTTTCAGCTATACTTTGCATGGGTTCTGGGGGAGGGTATTGAACTCTGTCCTCATGCCTATGTGGCAAATACTACACTGACTGAGCTATCTTCCTAGTCTCTGTCTTTTCAAAAATAATTTTTAATTAGCACACAAAAATGGTACAGAAAGAGAAGCAATTCAGTGGTAGAGCACTTTACTAAAATGTCTGAGGTCTGTGTTCCTTTCCCAGCACAGTGAAGGTACATATTTCCAGGGTACTGGGTGATATTTTGATACTGTTATGCATAGTATAATACTCCAATGAGAATAACATCTGCTCAAACATTTGTTACTTTTGATGATGAAAATATTAATAATTCTTTTTTAGCTCTTGTTTTAATATATGGTATATTTGTGGTATCTATAGTTACTCTATTGCAACACAGACCATAAGAAATCATTTCTTCTTAGGCTGTCCTTTAGATACATTTTGTTAAGAAAGGGTCATGCTACAGGAGGCTGGCCTTGAACTTTCCATCTTCCTATCCCTGCTTCATCCTTCCCATCACATGGAATCTGAATATGTGCAGCCGTCTTCCATTTTGACACCTTCAGTGCCCTGGGTGTCATATTTTAGACTTTTCAAACCCAGAGCCCACATTGTTCACTTGCCCTTCCCAATAGTCCTGTAGCTGAAGTTATCTGCAAATAGTAGATTGAGTAGATTCAGATCTTGACCAGTTGCTTTCTTTAGAACAATATACATTCCACACAAAAGTCCAGAAAAAGGGAAATCTCTTCATCATCCACTTGCTTTGATTATATTTAATACAGGGACTCATGAGGTTTAGGAAAACAGGTAAACCTTTATACTCTTCTGTGTAACTCTAATAATCTCAATGAGTTTGAGGGTTTGTAACATAGAAACTGTGGATGTAGCTAATTGGCAGAGGCCTTGCATGATATGGTGAAGCTGTATGGGTTCTTCTCTCTGCACAAAAAAATAAAAACATACTGTTCTTTTGGAGGTTTTTGTTTGTTTTCTTGGTTTTTCAAAACAGGGTTTCTCTCTGTGTATGTACCTCTGGCCATCCTGGAACTTTCCCTGCAAACTAGGCCTCGATCACAGAGGTCTGCTTGCTTCTGCCTCCTTAGCTCTGAAATTAAAGGTGTGCACCACTACCATGTAAGCATATCGTTGAAGGTTTGAAGCATAAACCAGAAAGGCCAAAACAAATGGGAAGAAGTAGAGAACCCATGAGAACAATTTGGGAAACTAAAGGACTTTAGTTAGCAGCCTGGAAAGAGGTTTCGTTTTCCCCAATATAGAATGTTGAGCAAGACTGTTTTTGCAGCAGTAATATTTGCTATGGCACCTAGGTGGGAATGCTTTTAAGTTCAAGCTTCTCTTGGAGGGAAAACACTAAAAGCCTTGCTCTGAAAGCTGAATGTGTACCCACTCTTGCTACTGCAGCAGACTGTGTCCACACATCCATGTATTTACCGTGTCAGGCTGCTTGTCTGCTATGGGTAAATTCAACATGGCTGGCTACACAGAGGTATTATTAGCTCAAGCTCTGATCCAAAGGTTAGGAGGGCTGCCACAAAAACACAGAGACAAGATCAGCACCCAACTCCAATTCTTGTCATCTCTCTCTGGTTCCCAGAGAGTCAGGTCACCCTGTCCTGTGCTCATGAAAGGAAAAAGGGCTCCATATTGTCATTTAAGATCAAGTGAAGGCAGGTCTTTAAACAATTTGTCTACAGATTTTGACAGCACCTTCATTACTCTCCCAATAACAGGAGCCTCTGGGAGTCTAGGTATCAGGTAAACTGTCCATGATGAGAGCATTGCTTATTCTCATGATGGAGTCTGTCTGGCCTTCTTTAGAGGGTCCCATTCCTCACAGCTCCTCCTCTTCCTCATTTGCAACTCTGGCTTCTGTGCTTCTTGTCTTTGCTGTGTCCACAGTCTCCCTATGGATGGTCAGTCTTTGTCCCCATTCTTACCAAATATGGGCTGGACTTGAGCCTAGTAGCAGCTTGGTCTCCCTACAGATACTCAAGAAGAAAATACCAGGGTAGGTGGGGCTAAAAGAAGCATTTGCCCAGAAGGCACTGTTGGCTCTGTTGGACTCATGGCAATCAGGGGACCACAGAGAATTAGGAAAGTTAAAAGATGCTTGGCAACAGGATCTGACCCCTTTTCTTTTTAAGGACCACTTGCTCAAATGACAACATAATAACATGTTGCTTGCCTTTTCTGAGTAACACGTCTAGGTCCATCTGGAAACAATTTCTGACCTTTGAGGGTCTCCCAAAGAGAACAAGTGTCTCCATCCTTCCAGTCCCCTTTCCCCTCAGTTGGAAAATACCAGCAAACCTCTCAGCATTCTTGGAGGAAAAGTTCAAAGTCTAACACCAAACCCTCAACACGCTTCCAGTCTCCCACTTGTGGCCAGGGACTCACTGAATCCATTCCCCAAAGAGAGCACAGCTAGACAGTAGCTCAATTCCACCCACAGAGACCATGTCAGGTACCCTAACCGCTGGAATTCAGGGGTCGGCCCCGCCCCTTTGCCTTGCTGGCCTCCCTGGAGCCCACAACTTGTCTGAGAATATAGCAGGAGCTCAACGCTGTGACTGACCTGAGATGCCGCCCCCCACCACGATCACATCATATTTGTTGCTCATGGTGCTCGCCAGGTTCTCGGTCGGTGGCCTTGGCTGCTAGAGTGTCAGAGCTTCTGCTTGCTCCGCGCTGAGCACTGTCCCCTCTCACTAGCGCCTGGGCTATAAGCTGGCTAGGTGCCTGGATTCTGAGCCCCGCCCGCTTACCGCCGCGCGCAACCGTCGCCCCCGCCCCCTGCCAGACAGCCCGGGCTTGAGAAGGGCAGACGCCCTATCTGAGATGGTGACCTGAAACCTTAAAGTCCTTCCCTTGAGTAAACATCCCATTGCCTCCTGCAAAGTATTTTCCAGTCAGCCTCGTGATCGCCCTATGCAACTTAGGGCCTGGAATATCTTCTGATCAGGGTGAAAAATCCAAGATGGAGAGCCTTGCAAGTGCCAAGCACTGTGTTAAACTCTTTGTACAAGATTCCTGTTCAACTTCACAATAACCCATTTTACACAAGAAGAAAGCTGACAAAAATATTAAATAATATGCTAGAAAGAAAAATTGTGTATTAAAATGTCACCTTCTTGGGGGGGGGGAGAGTTCGAGAGATTACTCTAACAGAGGACCCATGTTCAATTCCCAACACCTACAGCCATCTGTAATCTCAGTCCCAGGGTATTCCACACCCTCTTGGGCCTCAAGTGGGGACCAGGCATGTGTGCTGTAGTCACACATGCAGGCAAAACACCATATACATACAAAAATTAAAATCACAACATATCCCATAGATATTACTTCCAGTAATAACAAGAAAGGGAAGGAAGAGTCCAAGGCTCACCTTATGGACCAAACATAATTATCATCCCCAGCCCTAGTTATCTCAATAATCTGCTCTACCCCCATCCCCCCACACACATTATTTATTTAGTTAACTGCAAAAGACTACTCTAACATTTGATGAGGCACTTAGCCTAAAGACAATTTCCCTCACTTTTACAAGACATAAAAAAGTCATTGGCAGGAGGCCTGTGGAAGGGTAGCTCAGTGGTAGAGCCCTTGCATAGCATCAGACAAGCCCTAAAATCCCTAGTACTGTAAAGGAAATACTGTAACAAACTGATTACTGAACAACCCAATACATCTGTAATGTAAACCATGGAGCCTGGTTCCCAGAAAGTTGGTGATGTCAGAGGATAAGCCTTGGATAGTCAAATGTGATTCAGGGCTCCCAAGTAGAGCAGGGTGTTATTTTCATGCAACTTTGGGTTGAGTATCTAGGGACTATGGTCTTTACAAATTCAGGAGTCATTCAACAGGACTATAAATTCTTAAGCTGAAGTTACCCAGGCAGAAGAACATGGACATGATTCTTTTAGCAGCAGAAAGTCCACCTTTAAGAACTCAAAGCAAGAAGTGGACAAGTTTGGGGGTGATATGCTTCTGTTCAAGGTATTGGAACTGCCACCCACAGAGAAGCTAGCTCTAATGAACTGTGAAGTTGAAAAGAACCAAAGACAAACCTCTATCTCATCTTACTTCACTCCCTAAATCCTCTTGTCACTAAGATAGTTTGTGCTCTGAAGTTGCTCTCAGAATAGGGAAAGAGTTGCCCCCTGTACCTTGCCTCGGCAGCACAATAGAACCTTTCTTATTGGGGGTGTGGGTGAGTCAGCCCCAAATTTTTGAGCATGGGAACGTTTTCCCATTACTAATCTGTCATGTAGCATCACAGGGGCGATGATTTCCCCCAGCCCATCCCAGCCCAACCCAGCCCAGCAACATCTGAGGCAGGTGGGAGAGCTAGCCCTGAGGTCATGAGAACTGGACAGGTGTCCCTGCCCCTCATCAGCTGCAGCACTCCTACACCATACTTGGACAACACCGTAGAGCTGGTCTTGAGGCTATATGTGTGGCAGAACCTATCCTATGGACATGAAAGGGGAGAACTGGCCCCACCCCTTGTCATCACAACAAGGTGTAAGCTAGCCAGGGCAATATAGGAAAGATCACTCTGGTGGTGAGTACAGGGGAGAACTGGTGGTCTGACCAACCCTGCCACTATCCAGACCCAGAACCAGGGTTAGGAGTTGAGCCACCCCAACATCCACCCCATCTATAAATTGCTGGAGCAGGTGAAGTGACCAGTCCTGCAGACCCAAAAGTGGCAGGATTTCCAAGACACAAGGCAACGACAGGATAACCAAGAGGTGCTCCAATGAGGGTCCTGCATCAGTAGTGTAGCACAAACCAGAGGCCTCACACCAGACCAATGACTCTTTGCAATGAATACTTACAAGTAAAGATATATGGATAAAAGGGGGTGTGACTCAGTGTGTTTTACTACACTTCCATGATTTTTCCTCTTTGTTTTGTTCTCTTAAATTTTATTTTATTTTATTTTATTTTATTTTATTTTATTTTATTTTGGGGAAGGGTTTGCAAGGACAGAGGGCAGACACAAAGGGATGGGGAAATGATGTGGTGGAGATGCATGGTGTGGAAGACATAAAGAACAATTGAAAAGAAAGTTAAAGTAAAGAGATTCTTCCACCTGCTCTCGGTCCATTGCATACCCCTCTTCATTGTGTGTCTCCATCTACTTCTCTGCTATGTATGGGACCCTCACCAGAAACCAGCTATGTACTAATACCGGTTATCCAGATTGTGAGCAAAAAAATCAATGTTTTTTTTTCCTTTCTGAATTTCTCATCTTCAAATTTTTCTTCCAGCAACAGAAATCAGACTAATACAGTGTTTATTCTTGTGTTAGCATTTAATACTTGCTCTACTGAGCCCTAAGGAAGAAAACAAGATAGAAGATAGATTTCCCATCCTTTCCTTGGGAGCACATTTCATCAGGAAAGACAGTCAGGAACAGTGATCACAAAGCAATTCCTAATATCTCTCTAGGACATATATCATAGAAGGAATTCCTAGCCAGACAATCATGGAGGCCCTCCAGGAAGAAATGACATTTCTACTGGGATGAATAAAAGGTAGTCAACTAGTAAGGATAACAAGTGTGGCCAACACAGCAAACAATAATTCTACATTGGAAGGCAAGCCTAAAGCAGAAGCATTGGAAGAAATGGACAGAGGCTGATATAGAACCCATCCTTACCACCTTTAAGACTATCCATAAAGAGCATAACATTAATAACATAGCAGTGAGTGATTTGACAGTGAATAAATGATTGGAAGCATCATTTGTTTTTGTGTGTATTCCTGTCTTCTGGCTCCAGCTAGATAATAAATCACTGCAGAAAAGGAGGTGTTATTTTTTATTCATCCATTCAAGGAAAATGTATTGAATATCAACTTGGTATCAAACATTGTGTCCATCATTAGAAATATGGCATCATAAATTAAAAATGACGCTAATCCTAGGAAGGCTAAATATAAAGCTGGATAATTACCAGAAAGCTAATTTATGTTCCATTTGAGCAAGGCTTGATACCTCTCACAAAGACATGCAGAGGGGTGCTGTTCGCTCCTAGCAGAATTTATTTGCCTTTAAACTTTGTAAAATCCATATTTCTCTCATCAATTAAAACGAACTTGCTTTGCTTTCATTTCTTTTTCATTAGAAGACTGCCAAAGAGATAAAATATCGTTATTACTTCTTTCTTGCTGGCTAGCTTTTCATTAAGGGATATTTCAGTGAGTCTCTTATGCCACAGGAGGTTTCAACAAAGAGGCAGACTGTGTAGAACACAGTGCACCAGATACTATCTAAGTAGTACATTTTGCCTTTTTTTTTCAATGCAGGAAGCTTGACAGGGGATAGAAAATTCATTTTAAAATTAGATTCTTTAGAGCTTACCAGTTTCTTTTCCAGAACAACTACATTAATCTTTTTTCAAACATATATTGGTAGGTAAAATGATGAAAGGAGCTAGCCCTTGCAGCCAGGGCAATCTTTTTATTAATAATATTCAGTTGAAAGTGCTGTGAGATGTCTGGTGCCTTCAATAGAGTATCTATCTTTATCCTGGATGCTAATCTGGGTGTTGTTTGGGTTCCAAAGGTTTGTTTATGGGGTGGGATGATGTGTTCAGGGAGCTCATAATTTGGAAGGGCTCAAGAATCTTGACCTTACTCCAAAGTCCATAGGCTGGTTTAGGATGACAAAGCAGTTTGGGCATGGTGGCATAGGCCTGTAATCCCAGCATTTGGGAGGTAGAGGCAACAGGAAAAGGAGTTCAAAGCTAACCTGGGCCACATAAGATCTTGTCTCAAAATGCAAACAAACAACCAAACAAAAATGTCACAGGGAAGACTTCTAATAGGACCAGGAGACTTGTCAAGAACTGAGAGAAAGTGGTGTCAGCAGAGAACAAACCCGATGATTAATGCAGTCCCCCAAAGCTTTGTGGATTCTTTGGCATGCTTATTGACACATAAAGGTTGGATAGGAAATGTCTTTTTCTATCTGAAGAGCACTCTTTTCCCTACAATCTCATTGTCACAGCACAGGCTGTGTGAGCTCAGGGAAACTTCACAGAAAGGCCAATCTCAGAATGCATGCAGTTGAGTAAAGACCCCAAGCTGCAAGTCTTCAGAAAAACAGAGGGAAGCCTTTGACATGTTGCAGAGGGTGAGAAAGAAGATCCAGACCTCATGCACATCACAAGCTGATCATTATCATTATCATTATTACAATGACTAATAATGAGAATAAGAACATTCCTGTAGGTTAGAAATAGGGTCCTAAACAAAGAGAGATATCAGAACAGATGACATGGCAAAAACTATCAGGCCCAGAGGAGAAGAGCACATTATTAAACAACCATATCTAAGAGCTCAGTGAGTGAGCATGTTTTTTATTCATTATTTCTTATATATTTATTATTTTAAAATTATATACATATATATTTCATTTTAATCAGATTCATTCCTCACTCTCTCCTTCAACTCCATTCAGAGCTCCCCCAAATATTCTTTTTCCAATTTCACATCCTCTTTATGTTTATAAACTTGAGTCCTAATGGTGTGTAATGCTGCCTTTTGTGCCCAAGTGTGAGGCAATTCACTAGAGCTTGTGCAACCAGCCAGTAACCACACTCCTAATGAAAAACACCCTCTGTCCCTCAGCAGCCATCAACTTCAGTTAACTCCTCAGCTAAGAGTAGGGCTTCATGAGGTCCTCACCCATCTGTGCTGGAGTATCGACTAGCTTGACCTTGTGCAGGTT